GCGACTGGATGATCTTTACCTAACTCGCCCTGGCTTAGAACAGCCCCGATTGCATGATCCGATGCATCGGTAGTCAAAATAAAAGGTTTATCCCATTGAATGCATTTTAGTACAGGTTGGTGGCTGAGAGCGTCTTTCAAGTCAGAAAAACTTAGCTTCTGACTTTCTTCCCATACAAAGGGTTGATCTTTCTTTAGCAGGTTGTTAAGCGGTTTGGCTCGACTTGCGAAATTCGGGATATATCGGCGATAATAATTTGCGATTCCTAAAAATTGACGAATGTTTTTTACATTTTTAGGAACAGGAAATTCGAGAATAGATTTTAACAATCTTGGATCGGGACGTACCCCGTCTTCCGAAATTTCGTGACCGAGATAGCATACTTTTGGCGACAAGAATACACATTTTTCTGGTTGGAGTTTGAGTCCCGCGTGTTCCAAACGAGCGAACAGATTTTTGATTTTTATTTTATGTTCCTGAAGCGAGGACGCGTAAACAACTATATCGTCGAGATAAACGAATAACTCAACGCCATTGAGGCCTAATAATACTCGATTCATGAGCCTTTGAAAAGTCGCTGGGGCACCTTTTAATCCGAAGGGCATTCGAAGATATTCGTAATGTCCATCAGTGGTCGAGAAAGCAGTCTTTGGACTATCGTCAGAATTCATGGGAATTTGGTGGAATCCCGAAGCCAAATCGAATACGGAAAAGAATTTTGCTCCTCCTAAATTTTCTAAAATTTCGGATATGTTAGGAAGCGGATACCGATCGCCAATCGTTTTTTCGTTCAAATCGCGAAAATCAATCACCATTCTCCATTGCCGATTGCCCTGAGCGTCAGGTTTTTTAGGGACAATCCACAACGGAGAATTGTATGGGGATGTTGAGTGTTTAATCACCTTCGATTTAAGCAATTTCGCGATTTGCCGTCTAACTTCCGCTTTGTGCACCGGAGGATATCGATATTGTTTGGTAGTTATCGGTCTATCGTCGGTGGTGGGAATATCATGCTGTACCATATTAGTTCCCGGTAAATCGTCGCCCGGTAATAGAAATAAGTGGGGGAATTCTTCAACTAATTCGCGCACGTGTATCCTTTGCTCCGTGTCAAGGTGATTTAATCCGACCTTTTTTAAAACTTTGTTTACTCGTTCAATTACTGTTATGCTTTGACCGGTGTCAGATTCGCTTGCCCAAAGATCGTTTTCGAATGAGTCAGAATCTGCAAAATCACAAGGAATAATTTCTTGTGGTTCTAATTGTACGCAAATGTCAGACTCCGTGGTATTTATGGCCAAAGCGTAACATTTACCATCTTTAACCGACACGGCCGCGTTACCGATAAAAAGACCGTCTCCTGCGTCGAGTCGCGGAAGATAACCTTCGGTTATCTTTTCGTTTGATACGTTAATAGGGATAACTTGGCGACTTCGCGCTTGTATTCTAAAAATGGGACAGTTTTCCCCGCGACCTTCTCTTTTAACGCCTTCTGAATTTCTCGACGAAGTTACGAAAGGTATGGGACGCAACGGCTGGCAATCTGTAACGATGGTATTATAATGGAAAGAAATTTCGGCTTTAACTTGACGCAAAAATGTTACTCCAATTATTCCATCACCTGGGATTGGTAAATTTTCGTTCATGACATGAAAAGTTACTTGCGTATCGAAAATATTTAATTGTGTTGAACCCAAAGAAGCGATTTGAGAAAAAGTAACACCGGTTATTACTCGTTGATCTTGTGTGTCTATCATCGTGTCCGGATGTAAAGCTTTAATGGAAATAAGATTGACAGTGGCTCCAGTGTCAATTAAAAACCTCGCTTTACCTGTCCGAAAGTCTCGCGATTTTATATTTATTTCTGGGCATTCGTCGACTGTTCCCACAGTGCTCCCGCACGAATGTACCGTACCAGATTCTCTTGCGGTTGATTCGAGGTCGCAGATTTGAGAATCATTTTGGGAGCTGCGCTCGCCCGTGGCGCTGAGCGAGCGCTGTTGGAGTTTAAACATTCAGGATTAATATGCCCTTGATGAGAATCTACGGAATCTACAATAGGTATAGTTGAATTTAATGTTTGGCTCGTTTCTAAAGGCATGACACTATGGAGAGTATTTTGATATTGAGGAAAGGTTAAACTTTCGAGATCTAAACAACAATTTGGGCAAAATTGAAGAGGAGGAAGTAGATTTGGTTCGCTAGAAGTTACTGCTACCGATTCTACTTTGTTATCGCGTAAAAATTGTTGTCTGGGTGGCACATTAGCTTGATTTGAATATGGTTGTCGATGCATTAAATAAGGGCGATTTTCAACGGGACCCGGACGAAATGCTAATGGAGTTTGAAATCGGGCAGAAGGTAACGATTCGCGTGATTGCCAACCGTGTTTTTCTGATATCTCATCGAGATGTCTTTGTTCTTCAATAGCGATTGTAATCGCGTCGTTGAGAGATTCGGGTTTACGAGTTGACACACGCATTTCCAAACTACCGTATAATCCCATTATAAACGCGCCCAAAGCACTATCACTAATTAACGCAATTTTTGCTTTTAAATCATTTTCGTTTGCTGACTTATAAGTGGTCTTGATAGCAGCTTTAGCGCCGCTCACTAATTGTTTTATCCGAGCTCCATAGTCGACTATACTTTCGTTACGGTTAATTTTAGCTAACTGCATTTCGCGAAGATAATATTGAATGGAATGTTTATTTTGACGCGTATAAGCACGTAAATGGTCGGCCAGCTGTTCTATTGTTTCGAATTTTTGTCCTGACTCAATCGTTTCGCGTGCGTTGCCCACGATTTTTACCATTAAGCCCGTGACAAATTGTTTTTCATCTATTCCCGATAACGTACTATACGCGGTTTCAATAGCGCGAATAAATTCACGTAACTCCGGCTTTTCTCCATCATATGTAGGAACACTCGCGTACGCGGTTTGTAACGAGAAAAAGTTTGTAAAAGTAGAAAAAGCGGTGGCCATCGTGGCGGACAAATCTACCTCAGCCATTTTTCTTTATTTTATTATTATTTTCACGATAAAAAAAACACAACACTCACGAAACACTTAAAAAGCACAACCTAAATCACAATGGTACAAAAGAAAATTAGTAAAATTATAATATAACAATAAGCAAGAGTAAAATAGTCAAAGTATAAAAGAGATGTAAAAAGAAAGAACTAGTTGATGGACTATTATCCCACCGCTGTCACCAAGAAAAATTTCCCTGTTACGTAAATTGAGAAATTTTTCGATTATTAAATAAATAAAAGGAAAACGACTCAAATTACTTCACTTAAAATTTTGTATTTATCCTTCACCGAGCGGTAAGTGAAGGATGATGGGTAGTCCCATTTAAAGAGAGGTCTCACCTAGTTCCTTCTTTGAATTAAATATTAATCGGATTTATTTTAATTTCTTTAATAAAAATTTGAGACAGAGAATTAATAAAATTTAATTTTGATTTATTGATATAGACAATGTTAAATACTTAAAACAGCTCGAAGAGTGTCGAAAGAGGAAACAATTGTTGATTGACCCTAAGGTTTTTTTTTTGGACTCCTGCTCAGAGAGAGAAGCGAACTCCGGCCTAGGCTGGAACTTGAAGGTGAAATTGATGAGTGAATACAGTGTTCTACCCCGCGATGAGACCAAGGTACATCCAGGGTGAAGAGCTTAGAAAAGACTGTCTGATTGTTTTCCTGGTGAAAACTTGGAAGCTACCGGTGACGTGTCCCGGGGAAAAAAAAGGCAGAACTGTCCCCTCTTTTTGAATTTTCCACTCCCACAATTTGCCAAATTTCATCCCTCCTTGAATGGTGGTGGGGGATGTGTAAGAATGAGTCTGTGTTGGTGAGTCTCATTTAGGAGGCTCTAATTGCTTCTTTAGACCTTCTAAGATTTTATTGCAGTGGCGACAACCCAAATTTTATTGATGTTGATTTAGGCCAGGGCGATGTACTTTCGGAGGTGCTGTACTATTTCCCTTCCGAATCCATTCGCATTATCTCTCAGAGCAATCGTCCGTTCACCCAGATTAACAATATGTAAAACTATTTTATGGTTATCCTCTAACGAAAAACTCGAACTGAAATAGGCATAAGTTTTTTTCTTTTATTACATTTTGGAGATTTAGAAAAAATACGGATTAAGAGTTTGAAGCTTAAGTTACAATTTTATGTTTTTACAATTTTACGGCCCTTGCACCATTTGCGAGTTTAACAATTTGTTGTTTATTAAAGTTGAACATGTTTTATAAATTTAACCATGATTATTACAAAAAAAAAATAAAATAAAAAGATTCGTAACTAATTCTAATTAACACTCTCTCTAACGATTACTGATATATATGTACATATATAAAGAATAATAATAAATGAGAGTTGACATAAAGGTATTATATATTTTATCCGGACACAAAAAAAAAGATGTTAATTAATAATACTAATGGTTTAACCTAAGGTTCCTCTCTGATTCCGATACTCCATACTTTAATAAAAATAAAAAAATTAAGAGTTAATTATTATCATTAAAAAAAGGAAAGAAAAATTAAATAAATTTTTAAGGGCCTTGGGACGTCACAACATTTATTTTTATTTTTTCCTACGATAACATTTTATTACTTCACTGTAAAAAAAATAAGTGCTTTATTTTTGTCGAAAAGTATCTTAGATACCAAATAAAACACTTCTTTTTGCAGTGTTTTTTTTTATGACATTAAAATTTTTCAAGTTTTCATATTTAAAGTAATTGTATTTAAAAAAAATTGTTAAAAATAATTAAAAATAAATTCATTATTAAATAAACATTTAATAAAAATTATAATAAAAATAATAAATAATTGAAATAAAATACTCTAATAAAAAAAATAAAATCAACAGTTTAAGAATATAATCAATATGTTTTGGATAATAATTCTGCTTTACACATTTGTAAAAAAGAAATTTGTTTTTTTTTATTTGTAAAGAATTATTAACTTTTACTATAATTTACATACCTTGGATAGTCAATTTTTAATCGCACCATTTTTAAATTTTTTTCGTGGTTGTCATGAATTTTTAATAAATATTTTTTTCATTTTTTCTCTATAAAATTTTGTTTTCTTTTTTTCACGTGAATTTTTTTAAAAATGAATTCTACGATTGATACTTTATTTTCATCACATTTAAAATATTTTTAGGCTTGTTATATAGATTAATTGCACTAAATTTTTTTTTTTTAGTGAAGAGAGATTTCTTTTTTAATTTTTTTTTTTTGAAATTAGAATATTATTATAGACGATCTAGAGGCGTAGCCGTCAGTTTGACGACAATAATTGCATGTCGCAAATTCGTTCCTGACGGCTCAAATCTGGTCGATACAGCAGCGCGCGCGCTTCTCTCTTCATTTTCAATACTGTTCCGGGATTTAATATAATCCTCATATTCTACTTACATATATTTATCATATGTATGTATTTTGCTTTTTTGAAATAATCTCTACTTTGAATTTATTTATTTTTAATATATAGGAGTTTGTCCTCTTAATTTTGTCATTCTTCTTTTTAATTTCTTTTTAACTTTTGAATTACAATATATATGAATTTGCCAAAAAATCGCTAAAATCAATTTTCGTTTTGCAAAAACTAATTGTTAACAGAAATAATTATATCGATTTGATTTGATATTTGATTTATTTTTTAATAAAATTAAATTTGTTTTTTCAGTAAAGAATTCAGTTTAAAAATTTATATAAAATATTTTTGTACTATTGCAAATGATATATTATTTGAAAGTGAAAAAACTATTTAATATTTTTAAAAAATCGCGGGGTTTTGTTTTTTACTTGCGCATGTTTTCTAGAAATTTGTATAGAAATATAAATCACTTTTTTTTAGAAAGAAAGACAAATAATTGTTCGGAAAAACAAACAATAATTAAAAATTAAAAATTAATTAAAATTATTTAAACAATTAAAAGAAATTGGAAAAATTGCTATTAAAAGATAAAAAAAAACTTTTTTTGTACCATGTGTAGATAAAGTGTATTTCTTCATTTTCTCGATCGGTAACTAATCGATTATCATTTGAGTTTTAGCAATGTTAATAGTTTCATTTATTCTCCATAGATGTAAGATCACTAAAGTTTTGAAATTTGTATTTTAAACCAATAATTCAGTTTCTAAACATAAGGTTCCAAGCTGAAGAAATATATATCAGAATTTCTCAAATTTCCCAGAAAAAAATTCGTTAAAAATATTTATTATTTTTTAATTATTCATTCACCTTGTAGGAACATAAAAAGAATTCTATAGTATATAATTATATAATAATAAAATGCTTGGTCTGTCCTTCTGTCCTAACTTGAAGTTGGCCTTTTCTGATTTCACGTGTTTTTTGAATAGTAATCTTATGACGTGTCAAATTTTTACAATTCTTTTTCTCATTTTTGCCAAAGTTGTATAATTGTGTTTCCAAATTTCGGAATAAGTTTCTTTAAAAATCCAAATTCGAAAATTCAATTCACGAAGCTGAAGTACACAACGTTTACCAACGAAATTTTTTTTAAACTTGTATATTGATTTAAAAATTGTATACAAATACAAAAAATTTATGATGAGAAAAAAGATGCGCCAGGAAATTTCGTGCAAGATAGTAATTTGAAAAAAATTTATTTTTAAAAATTTATTTTTAAGGTACCAGGGGCCAACGAATACCTATTAAATATTAATTATAAAAACACAGGCCTCGAATCAACTTAAAGACACAAAAAAGTCGTTTTAGTCGATTTATATTCCAAAAAAAGTGAATTTGTTTTTTATTTTAACAAAAATATTTTACAGATTTTTAAATAAAAAAATTTTTTTTTTAATAATAATCCTTTTCGAAGGGTTAAAGTTGAAATTTTTAGAAATAATTAAATTTCAAAAGATATTGTTAATTTTCAAACAATTTTTAAATTTTACAGAACTAAAAATAATTTATCAAACAATTTTTGGAAAACATTTTTTAAATTTAATTGAATTTTCAAAGATTTAAAATTGAGATTTTTGAAATTAATTGAAACTTTAATATATAGATAGTATAGATTTTTTTGGAATCTCTTTGATTTCCTTTAAAACAAATTTAAAATTTTTACTATTCACCGCACAAAAGAATGACAATTTGTTGTAAGAGAGTGCTTTGGTGCGTTAATTAAAAATAAATCATTTTTAATATTGAAAAATGGTTTCAGATAGTTGAAATTTCAAAGAATATAATTAAAATAGTTAAAAATAATTGAATTTCCTTAGAGTTATAATTGAAATTATTAAATTTTAAAAAAGAAAAAATTTTCGATGGAAAATTTTAGAAATAATTAAATTTTAGATGCTTTTAAATTCGAATTATTGAAAATTCAATTAATTTTGAATTCAAATTTTTGAGAATAATGAAATTTTATTTGATTTTAAATTTGGAAAATAATTGAATTTCAGTTCATTTTGAATTGAAAGTAATTGATTGATTTTAAATTGAAAATTTTTTAAATAATTGAATTTCAATTAAAATTTTGAAAAATAATTTTATTTTAGTTAAATTTTAGTTGATTTTGAATTGAAATTTTTGAAAATAATAGAACTTTAGTTTATTTTGAATTGAAATTTTTGAAAAATAATTCAATTTTATTGTGATATATTTTTTTTAAATTATAAACAATTGTTAAATTTCATAAAAATTTTAATTTGAAAAATAATTTTGATATAATTGAATTTGTGATGTATTCCATTAAAATTATTAAAAATAATTAATTTAGTGAAGAATCATTTTAGTTCAAAATTTGTTAAATAATTGAATTGAAGAAGATCTGAAGAAGATCTACATTTTATACTAAAAAAAATGTATTTTATTTACATTTTTTTTCAAATGTAAAAAAAATGTCGCATTTTATTAAAATAAGTCGATAAAAGTCGTATTTTTGAAAAAATTCGGAAAAAGTCGTATAATCCGAGGCCTGTAAACATATAATTTTCATTATTATCATTTAATATGTAATAATATTCTAATAAATTAAATTATTATTGATAATATTAATCTTTAATTTCTTTATAAAAAAACAATTAAATACTCAATTTGGCGCGCTTGCTCTCGTTTAATTTTGCTAGTTCTATATAAAATGTATCTTCGAATAAATTCATGAATGTCATCCGGGTTGTCATTGAACAGAGGCAGGAAACTAATATGAAATCGAAAATTACGGAGAATTTAAGAAAAATTGATTTTGTTAAATCTAATTGCATAAAAATATTTAAATAATTTAAATTATAACCTGTGTTATATCGACCAATCAGATGGCTTTAGGGCAGCAGTTACGTTTAGCACCCCCCCTGGCGGTGGCGTCAGTGAACTATCTTTTTATTTTAAATATTGATGAATAGGATAGTAGGATATAAAACTGCATTAAAATTTTTTTTTTTAATAATAGAAATTTTTTTTAAAAATTAAAGAGGAATAATTAAAAAATAGATTCATTGTTATAATAATGGTTTATTGTTGAAGTGATATAGATATAATGATTTTTAACGTAATTAACTACAATGATACGTTCATAACTAATAGAGTCATATTTATACACGGATTATACAATATTTACAAGAAACATAATGTCGTTATAAGCAACATTTTTTTTTTTTTTTTTGGACAACGAGCGGACCACAATCATATATATGTATATATATATATTCACAGAACGTATAGTCGTTGTACTGCATATTATATATATATATATATATGATAAATCGCGAGATCAAAAAAACCTAATTAAATCAGGCTGCATGATCAAATGCGCGCGGACCCACTAACATAATCTTGCGTTGTACATAGTACGTACATGTTACAATAATGCTACTTATCGTGTAAATCTTGGTAGGTTTACTTGCATTAACGTGTACATATCGACTATATATATATATATATTGCCTCGAAGACGGTCAATAAAGGTTCTTTAATCAACTTCTTATGTTTGCGCACACGTTTTCAATATGTATATTTTTTTCTATTTACAATATATATATATTTATATGTGTATTGTATATATATATATATAGCTATCTGCCTTTTAATTTGCTCCGCATGTACATATCGAGAATTCTCTCCTATTCATCATTTCGTAATTTTTTTTTTTTCTATTTTTTCTTAAGAAAATTCAGATTTGATTTTGCAGAAGGATATTCTATTATTATTTTTAAAAATGAGCGTTTTTTTTGCAAGTTTATAATGATAGCTGTGATACATATTGAAGTTTTTTTTTCTCTCTGCGATAAATTCGTTAAAATTAATCCTCAATAATTAGTCGCGAATTATTGAGGAACTTTCTTATTCGTGAGATCATGACTATATAAGCACATTCCGAGGCCTTTTCGACAATGAGAGTTTTGAAATTGATAGCTTTTTGCACTTGAGTTGATTTTTTTGCACTGTTTTGTTACTATCGTTTTCATTTTTTATACAATTTTCTCTTATCGAATAGGCATCAAAGTAGAATTCAGTCCACAATTTTTGGAATGTCCTTTTTCTTCAAAACCTTTCTTTTTTTTTTTTGATCAAAAAAATTAAAACGAATTTTGGTTTTGAAAAACAAAAAAATTTCTCTATACCAACCCATAGTGATGTTTTTTTTTTTTCGTTCTATATAAGATTTTCGACTACAATATATATATTTACTTCAAAAAAAAAAAATGGTTTTTCTTTTGATGTTCTTTTGCATGTGATTAATGGATATTGTACATTTGACAGTGATTACTAAGCTACATGTTTTATGTCTCGGAATTCGTTTACAATTATACCAACGTATAAATATATTTTGGATTTTTTTTTTTTTTTTTTAAATACAAAAATGTCGATATGCTTTCGTGTCGTACATATATTATGCCCAAAACTCAACTTGAAAGGCGATCTGGGATTAAGAATTATTTTTTGTTTCGTTAAAATGAAAATATATAAAAAAAAAATTTGTCTGCATTTCGTAATCTTAACACAGGAAGTTTTAAAATACTAAATTCGCCTTGCAAGCCGAACTGCATGCTTCCAGTCACACGTGGATAGTGTTTTTACATTTTTTTTTCATTTTTTTTTTTTTTTTTTTTTAATATAAACAGTGTTAGATATATCTCTGCATGTAGAGCAGAATACACAAACATTGCGCATACTGAAGAAGGAAACCGAAACTGGGACCGCGAGTGTTATAACCTAATTTTGAAGTAAAATTAACAAACGATATAAAAAAAAAATTTATTAACACATTATGCTATATATCTGAAATCAAGATTCCTACCACGGTAATGGAACATGTATTTCATTAATTTTAATTTTTTTTTTTTGGTATCGCGTAAATCACATGATATCGTAAATGCTCGAAAAAATTAATACGATTGACTTTTTTTTTTTAAATAAGCTCAATAAATAATGACTAATTAATAAATTTCACTTTTACATTATCCTTTCTAACTAATTGTGTCCGTGCCTCATTTTTTTTTTCTATTTTTATCGAATACTTTGAGTATTTTTTTTTTTTTTCATTCTCTGACAAAAAATATGTCCCCTTTTAAACGAAATACACATAGGCAATTATATAGGAAATGCAAGTTTCTCTTACCGCGAGTTACAAATATATGGAATCATTGTTTTCTATTTCCGAAATATATGATTTGATATTATATATATTTATATGTAAAAGATTTGTTTTCAGTCTCTTTATTTTTTTGTATATTCACTCGCGATATAGAAAATTTTGATATTTTAAAAGGGAATGCAAAACAGATTATAGCCACACACTCATAAATGATGTATACATATATATTGGTGACATTATGCAACCAAAAAAGTATCTTAAAAAAAAAAACTGAGGGTGGATTTAAAAGTAGTACGCATACGTTTCGTACTTAAATTTTCTAACAAAAGTTTATCACTATATGTATGATTTTTCTTAAACTGAATCACTGGTTCATTGGTCGGTTAAGTTCGTATACTAGGCACAGGCAAAATTATAATAAGGAAAAAGCCTCAAAAATAATTCATCAGACTTGAATCAACATTCGTACGCAACTATAAATTAACATAACATACTCAAGAATGATTGGTAGTAGAGTGTTGAGATTTAAAAATAAAAATATATATAAATAAATAGAATAATGACTTTAAGTCTTAAATGTTGTAACCTTTTTTTTATACCTTAAGCACTATTTGACTTAGTACTCAACACAGAAAATTGAAAGGCATTAAAATAAGCTGCAACGCATATTATTTTAATCCAATTTGGCTTATTTTAATACATTTTGGTATTAAAATAAGCAAAATTGGATTAAAATAATAAGCGTTGCAACTTATTTTAATGCCTTTTAATTTTCTGTGAATGCATAAGATTATAGGACTTTATATACCTTTACTTAATGTATACACGGAAAAAAAATCTTCACCTGGAAGAACGAAAAATTTCACTGGAATAAAGATATGTTTCATTAAAACAGAGAAAGTTTTTGCTATTCTAGAGAAACATATCGCTGTTGCAGAAAAAGATTCTTTTCCGTGTATAGAATTTAAAATTTTATGTTTTAAGTTTTATGCCTTGACTTAATACTTAAGGCATTTCTAAGTATTTTGCCTCAAGCATTATTGACTGAATATTTAAAACATAAGACTTAAGACTTTGAGCCATAGGTATTATGCTTTAAGTATTAAAAGTATGCCTTAAGTATTATGTTTTAACTTAATACTTAAGGCATAAGATTCAAAGCATAGTCTCTAAATCTGAATTAGTTACTTTTGACTAATGCGCCGATTCGTTCATTAGATGAATTACTAACCGTTTTGACTAATTTTTAGTTAAAAATGACTAATTGATAGTAGAAAAGGACTAATTCTACTAATTTTTAGTTAAAAATAATTAATTAATGGTAGAAAACTACTAATTAATTTATTCAAGTTTACTAATTGAAGCAGCAACCTTACTAATTGAATTAGTAGTTTTCTACTAACAATTAGTCATTTTTGACTAAAAATTAGTAGAATTAGTAGTTTTCTACTACCAATTAGTCATTTTTGACTGAAAATTAGTAGAATTAGTAGTTTTCTACTACCAACTAATGCGCCGATTCGTTCATTAAATGAATTAGTAACCGTTTTGACTAATTTTTAGTTAAAAATGACTAATTTATAGTAGAAAACTACTAATTCTTCTAATTTTTAGTCAAAAATTGACTAATTGATAGTAGAAAACTACAAATTCTACTAATTTTTAGTTAAAAAAGACTAATTAATGGTAGAAAACTACTAATTCATTTATTCAAGTTTACTAATTGAAGCAGTAACCTTACTAATTGAATTAGTAGTTGTCTACTAACAATTAGTCATTTTTGACTGAAAATTAGTAGAATTAGTAGTTTTCTACTACTAATTAGTCATTTTTGACTGAAAATTAGTGGAATTAGTAGTTTTCTACTACCAACTAGTCATATTTGACTAAAAATTAGTCAAAAAAGTTACTAATTTATTTAATGATCGAATCTGCGCATTAGTTAAAAGTGACTAATTCAGATTTAGAGAGTGTGACTTAGAACTTAATACATAAGATTTAAGAATTTCTGCCTTAAGTTCTAAGGTTAGGTGTCAAGGTTCTTAAGTCTTATAATGCCTTAACTTAATATTTAAATATGCCTTAAGCATTGTTGACTTAATACTTAAGGCACAAGATTTAAGACATTAAGTCTTATGTTTTAAGACTAAACCTTATGATTTAATAAGACTTAAAAATTAAAGCATATAAGACTTAATACTTAAAGCATAAGACTTAAGACTTTAAGTCTTAATTATTATATGCTTTAAGTATATATTAAAACTATGCCTTAAGTATCATGTTTTAACTTAATATTTAAGGCCAGGTCCAAGTCATGTCAGCTGTTCCATTGAAACTTCAAAGGAACAGCTGACTCGACTTGGACCTGGCCTTAAGGCATAAAATTTAAAGCATAGACTTAGAACTTAAAACATATTAGACTTTTTGAAATTGAGTTCTAAAAAAAACTCCTTCCAATCAAACTGAGTCTGTACGTAAATTTACGTTGATGTGTTTGTGTGTGTGTATGTACGAAAAATGTCGCGTTACATCACGCACAATAATAATATAATAATAATTAATTTATTAATATAATATAATATATAATACTATGATACAGGAAATAAGTACATTGGTTTAGTGATTGCAGGCTGCTCCTCTCATATCACAGCGAGGGGCGCTGCCGGGCCCGCGTCTACATTAAATTTCTATTAGAAATAATATTCTCTCTTTCTTCTGCGTACAAATTCATTCATTTATTCTTTCTCTCTCTCTCACACACACACATTCTTTTTTTTTCGAAATTGTATACAAGACATTTGCTCTTGGTATACAGAATCACCATATTAGTTGTATATATTCGAATTTTATATTCAAAAAAAAAAAATTCATTTTATATGGTCATTCTGTATACAATTATTATTATTATATATATTTCCATATGCACATGTATTTATATATGCACTATATATGCATCATATGTTGTTTGACAACTAGAATCCTAAGCGAGACCATCACTTTTCGCGATTTTGGACGGTCCTGATACGGAGGCTGAACGAAAGAAAAAAAAAATTACTAAGCACGGCACCACATGTCTTGTGGCTTTAACTGTCTAAAAAGTTAATATAAACAGAGAGCTCAGTCTAGGCGCCGCAAATCGCCTCCAGTATCGAACGGATTGACAATCGTTTATTATGAATTCAATCAATTTGACTGAATTTTTATTTATATAATTTCGAAACAATCCCAGATCCTTTTCTCGAAAGATCGTTTTTTTTTTTTATTATTTTACATGTTAAGACTAGTGTGATAATAGGAACATGACGTCTTCTTTCAGCTGCAAAAACCGTTCGGGGGGGATATGTCTCTTGAAACTAGCCTCGAGTATAGCAATTTTCGTTAATAGATTATTTAAGGAAGACTATATGTATATATGTGGAACAATTTGGCGTTCCTTTTAGTGCGGGGGGAAAATGCGGAAACACCTTTTTTTAAAACACTTAAACTGATATTTAAAATGCGTGATTTAAAGTCCCTGATCAGTTCCGGAATTTTCATTTTCACATTCCTAGCAGGACGGAGATAGACAAGGAATCACGAATCTTATTTTTTTTTTCTCAAAAAAAAAGAGAAAATCAGCGGGAACAAATTTTTGAGGGTATGTAGCGAGGAACGGAAATGCAAAATTTTCATGCGGCTAGACCTTCCCCTCTTGGTGCAGGTGGAGGTGGTAAACGTGCTGATGGTGGTGTTGCATTGCTCTCAGTTCTTGATGGTGTATCACGTTCATAGTGATGCTGTAGAGGTTCACCACTCCATGCTGGCATACTTGCTGAATTTTGATTACCAGTATTTGATGATGGAGCACCAGGTGAATGGGCTGGTGATGGTGTTTGAAATAACATTGATCCAGAGGCTAATGCTGATTTTGTATCACCCAATAATGGACCGTTACTTGGTGTCATTGGTTGTTTTTCAAGTGGAAAACCACCGCTGTATACTGAACCAAAAATACCAGCGTATTTACTTGCATTAACTGGATGAACTGGCATACCATTGCTTCCTTGAATCACCGAAATCTCGTTCAGCTATGGAAAAAAAAAAAATTAAGTGTGAAAAATTTAGATCTGATCACAGGCCTGCAAAATTTAACTTTTTTCAGTTTTTAGAATGGCTGTACATGTTTCTTGTAGTTTTTTATGTGCTGAAAACGAATCTGACCTTCAAAATGCTCCATCACGTCAGGATTTTTAGTAAATGAACCCTAAAAGGTCAAAAAATGGCCATTTTAGACATTTTTGATAATTTTTTTGGGATAGAAATTTTTTTTTTCAATTTTCGACGAAAAGATCGCATATAGTACAACTCTTTAGCTTTAAAACTCATTTTTCAAAATTATTATACGATTTTTTAAAAAAAAGTTATGACATTTTGAAATTAACAGTTTCAGTTACGATAATAATAGACGTTATACCCAACGATTCTTTAGACAGTTTTTGGGAAAAATATTTTCTAAAAAATCTTGTTTCTACCTTATTGGCTTGAAATTTGTTACTCGGGGGTTTTTGGGGTCGCTGATTACAAATCTGAAATCGGATTTTAAAAATTCAAAATGGCGGATCCAATATGGCAGAAAAAAAAATTAAAAATTCATTGTATTCATTCATTCCGAACGGTAAACAGTAATGAATTTTTGTCGTATTTGAAATAAAATGTATATCGATAAAATATAAAAAAATATCCGGTATATCAAAAAATGGGGGTCAAAAATTCAAAATTTAACTAATCTGTCTGAAAATATGCGCACTGGTGTTTTTGGAGTCCCTGAATCAGACTTCAGCGGATAAACCCCCCCCCCCCCCAGTAAACATTTTCATCCAGATCAGTTAAATTTTGAATCTTTTTTCTAGCCATTTTGAATTTTGAAGATTTGACTTCAGATTCGCAATCAGCGACTCCAAAAACCCCCGAGTAACAAATTTCAAGCGAATACAATGAATTTTTAATTTTTTTTCTGCCATATTGGATCCGCCATTTTGAATTTTTAAAATCCGATTTCAGATTCGTAATCAGCGACCCCGAAAACTTCCGAGTAACGAGTTTCAAGCAAATTCGATCATTTTTTGTAAAATTCGTCCACCATATTGGATCCGCCATTTTTAATTTTTAAAATCTGACTTCATATTAGTAATCAGCGACCTCGAAAACCCCCGAGTAACAAATTTCAAGCCAATAAGATAGAAACAAGATTTTTTTAGAAAATATTTTTCCCAAGAACTGTTCTAAAGAATCGTTGGGTATATATAACGTCTATTATCGTAACTGAAACTGTTAATTTCAAAATGTCGTAACTTTTTTTTAAAAAATCGTATAATAATTTTGAAAAATGGGTTTTAAAGCTAAAGAGTTATTGTACTATGCTGTCTTTTCGTCGAAAATTGAAAAAAAAAAATTTTCTATCCCAAAAAAAATTATCAAAAATTGCTAAAATGGCCATTTTTTGACCTTTTAGGCTTCATTTACTAAAAATCCTGACGTGATGGAGTATTTTGAAGGTCAGATTCGTTTTCAGCGCATAAAAAACTACAAGAAACAAGTACAGCCATTCTAGAAACTCATACCCTCGCAGTACTGTGATTATTAATGAGAATTTTTTTATATACCTTTTGTTGAACTCCGTTAAGGAATGGCGTGGGTAGGTAAGGATAGAAGAGATCCGGCCTTCGTTGAAGAAACTCCGAGTCCTTGGGCGTGATGGGTAGGGGAGGAAGATCTAGTGACATTCGTCGTCCTCGTCTGGAGGTTCCGTTGGTCCACATATGCGTGCCCATATGAACCTTGAAATAGAGAAATATTTTATGAAAAAATTTAAAAATATCTCTCGGTTCATATATATATATATATATGAGATATATGCGTTATTAGCGTTAGTATAAAGCGACAGCAGCTTACTGATGGCATTAGTGAGAATTTAGCGTTAGAGTTTGTTTTTTTTTTTTTAAAGGAGCAGAATTTTTTAAATGGTTTTTCGTCTGTGTACCTTAAGATTGCCCTTGGTGGTGAAGGCCTTTTGGCAGACGGTGCATCTAAATGGTTTGTCACCAGTGTGCGTCCTCATGTGAATTTGTAGAGCCGATGATGAGGAGAAATTCTTATTGCAAACCTGGCACAAATGCTTGCTGGACATGCCTGTAAATATACACATCACACAATTCGCTAAAGCTAAACCGATGTTTATCACAAAAAAAGAAAATTTAATTTTTGAAGAAAAAATGGTTCTTGAGAATATAAAAAGGATGTATAGCCTGCCACCACAGCGGTTAAAGGATAAATCAGCATATATATATAAGCGGGATTTGCGCATAGATTGACAGAGATTACGCAAAGAAGCTATGAACCACATTCTCATTGGAAAAATTTTAAAGAAAATAGATTTTCATTACATTTTCCTACTAAAAAATTATAACCGATGAAAATGTAGTGTTTTTTTTTTTTAAATAAAAAGTTATTTAACTTACTGTGTGGCCTTTTTGGAGCTGATAGTTCAGTTTCAGTGTGCGATCTCTTTACTGGAACTATGGACTCAACTGTTGTTGGTGGCATTGGTGGTGGAGGTGGAGGAGGCGGAGGTGGTGGTGGAGGCAAACTAGACTCGTCAGTACACATTGGACTTGTTGAACTTTCTTGTTCTTGAAGTGATGATGGTGGTGGTGGTAGTGGTGGTGGTTGTTGTTGTTGTTGTTGATGCTGTTGAGTTGGTGGCTTGGAATCACTAAATAGATGAGGAGGCATGTCCCGGATTTTGTGAGTTAGCATGTGTTGCTTCATGTTGCCCTGAAGGGACACAGAAATTATAAAAATTAAAATACACTTTAGTCTAAAGAAAAGGAAATTAATATATCCAGAAAAATTAGCCAATTTCTGATTTTTTTAAATAGCAATTTTTTTTTTTCAACAACGGATTTAAGGATTTCCTCGCGAATTGCCTTAGGGGCAAAAAATCGACTTGCTCAGGAGGCTCTTACCAGGAATACGGGGTCCGAGGTTAGAAGTCCGAGGGCGGGGGGCATCAGTGGGGGCAGGCGTACGTCCCCATAGATTGCAGCATAGGTAGACGTCAGTCCCCGCCCCTCTCCAGTCCCAGTCCGCCCCCGATTCTTACGATCCTCGGGCCTCCGTCTCCTGCGTTTTGGCTTCTCTCGTGATTTGGTCGATACTATCGATGGCGGTTGTGCTGATAACGTTTGGTATGGAAGTTCGGATTTAACGGTAGTTGATGTTCTTGTGGATAATCCATTTTCCTGCTCAGTGCATGAGCATGATTCTATCACTGTTCCGTCACTCTGGAAAGTATTTCTAAATAAAAACTCTGTATCTTTATTGAAAAAAGAACCGTTAAATTAATGTTACAGAGAATTTCATTAACAGTTCCACAATTGGCGTGATTAATCCTGAGTTCTTTTTTAAAAGAGGGGTTTAAAAATCTCGATTCAAATGCTACCGCAGGTGACGCTAAATGATTCTCAAAAATATATATCTTTTTTTAATTACCTTGGTTGAGAATCCTCGATCGCAGATGGTACACTTGAAAGGTCGTTCCTTCGTGTGGCTCCGGTAATGAATTTCCAATGCAGAGTTACACGCAAATGTCTTGTAGCAGATATTACACGTAGTGTTGCCACGTACTGCAACAAATCGTGCAATGATTCAGTCATTCTCACGCGAATATATATTTGTATTTATATTTTTCTCTTTATATATATATATATATATAGAAGAAGAGTGGAAAATTACGTTTTTAAAAAATAATTGACCGTCTATTGCCTATTGTTCATACTTATTTTAAAAGAATGTCTTTTTAACAAAAAAAGGTTTTTATCCTTCGTATTAAAAATTGAAACTAATTATATAAACAAAAAAAAAATTCTGATTTTTAAATGTTAATGAGAAAGACTGAGTTTTGTGTATATTCATATATAGAAAAAAAAGTCGCAATTTAAATATATAATATATATAAAGGAATGGAATGGATCGATGCAAAGCAACTGTTATGTTGTATAAAACAATTTATTTATAACCGTACATGTATATGTGTATATGTTTTGAATTGTTTCTCGGCGAACAAAAATAATCTAAAGTCGTCATTTTAAACATAAATCAGTAAATGCCTAAATCTATATTACGTTGACGAATATGTATTGCAGCAAAAATTTCTAAAATAACGTTTTAAAATATATATATTTATCGTAAAAACATTCTTAACACAGCCAGCTTAATTACAATACAAGTTAAACTCATTTATATGTATATATATATATATAATTGTCGAGCATTATTTACGTGAAAACTAATATATATTCAGAAGGAACACTATATTTCTAACCTATAAATTTTTTTATACAACACAACAATAATTTATCAAATTCCTAATAATAATAATAATAATAATAATAATAATAGAAAACAATGGATTCTTCAAAATAATATAAATTTTCACGTAAATTTGACTACGAACAATAAGATTTCAATATATACTTGAGTTGTAATCCTACCAGCTGAATTTTTGTATGGTCAACGTGCAAAGGAAGTCGTGGAAATATTTATATATATGAGAATAAAGTAAAAGATATACATCTATTCAGACAAAACTAAACGAGATCAAGGAAATAACACATTTAAAGAACAAGACAGGGGAGTGCTAGGTCCAGCTACACCACATGAGGAAGTTTGGACAGAGATATATATATAGGTTATTTTGAAACACAGTAAAAATAAATACAAATTTTTTAAATTTCAAAATGCAATTGTTAACAATTTGTCTTTGAGGTTAAGTTGTTTAAAAATTATTCAATTTTTAACATCTTAAAGTAACGTTTAATTGGATAATAAATTTTCTTCTTGATTTGTGTCAAAATTCTTTTAAATAACGGTATTTGAATAGATTTCTCTAAGATACATTTTTTTTTTTTTTTTGCAATACTTGAGGCAATATTCAGAACCTTAAATACAAATTGTTTTTTAATTAATAATATAAGGGCACAGAAAATTAAAAGGCATTAAAATAAGCTGCAACGCTTATTATTTTAATCCATTTTTGTATTAAAATAATCAAAATTGGATTAAAATAATAAGCGTTGCAGCTTATTTTAGTGTCTTTTAATTTTCTATGGGAAAAAAAATCTTCACGTGGAACAGCGATAAGTTTCTCTGGAACAGGGATATTCTCTAGAATAGAGAAAACTTTCGCTGTTTTAGTGAAATATATCGCTGTTCTAGGTGAAGATTTTTTTTTGAAGTCAATATTTCTTTTAACTGTGAAAGGTTTTTTTGTTTTTATTATAAGGATGAAATCACTCGGAAAATGATGTAGAGAGAGAGAGAGAGAAAGAGAGATGAATCATTTGAGAGATAAGAAGTGTATGATAGTGTTTTGGAATGGGAAGGTGTAGCGGGAACTGTGGCTCGCCCTTCGATGTACTAGCAGCGCCTACCTGCTGGCCCTCCGACAGCTAGGCCAAGCGGATTGTAAGTCGAGGTCGCTGCCAAAACGGCTGACGTTGTTAAGGAGGCTAAAGGTCCGCCACCACCACTGCCAGGACTGACTGCATTCATAGGTGAAACACTATTTATGCTTGTTCCCATGGTATTCATTGATGGCGATGATGACACCGCCTGTAAAAGTCCTGCAAACATTCCGAATGGATGAGGATGATGTGGTGTGGTTTGAAGTGATGATAGTGGTGGTGGTGGTGGTAGTGGTGGAGGTGGTGTCGTTGCTGAAGCTACAGACGCTGGCGTTGATGAAGCTCTTGGTGTTAAATCTAATGGTGCTCCAATACCAGGTGGACTGTTACTTTTTTCACTGCCATTGTATCGATGAATTTGTGGTTGTGGCGGTGGTGGTGGTGATCTAACAGAATTCATTTGTCCCTGAGCCATTGTTGTTATTGTTCTAACTTGATTTTCAAGTGCCGCTAATGATGTTGAAAACGAAGGAATTATTGGTATTTCCTTTTGTTCAGGTTCCTCGTGTTCTTCTTCATGTTCATCTTCTTCTTCATCGATGCATCGCCTTTCTCGTGATTCCGCGCACCTTTCATCATCATCACGCCTATCATCGTCTTCATCATCGGGATCTTCCATATCGTCTATATGCTCGTCTTGAAATCTTTGATGTAAGTCTTTTGTTTCATCGCTCTCCTGTGATTGCCTTTCCATTGTATGTCGAGGTGGTGGAAAGGCTAAAAATCCTGGCCCACCTGGATGAAGAGGTGGAAATCCTTGTGGTAAAAATGATGCTAAAGGATTATGAGGATAACCAGGATATTCATTAACTTCGGCGGCTTGAATTTGTTCTGGTGTTAAATCTGTAGGTTCACCGGTATGTAATCGTATGTGTTGTTGAAGAACAAGTGCATTTGTGAATTTTTTATGACAAACGGGACACTGATGTAATACACGTAGCGGTGGTTTTGCACGATGAACACCCATGTGAGTCTTGAGATTACCTTTTGTTGTAAAGGCTCGTCCGCAAATTTTACACTTGAACGGCCGTTCACCTGTGTGTGTTCTATAGTGCATTTGAAGAGCACTTTTGCATGAGAGAACTCGATGACAAATTGCACATTCATTGGGATCAGTTAATTTATGTTCAATATTATCGACTAATTGTTGAAGTTTCATTGTTTCGGAGGATTTTGTTATTTCGATTAAACTTTCCCAGGAGTTATCATTACTTCCAGGTCGGGGGAGAAGACTTGAATAAATTGCTGGATCTCTTGCTGGATCAATAATCATATCATTGACGGAACCTGTTGGGGTTGTTGTTGAAATTTGATGAGGTAATTGTTGATGTGGTGGTGGTGGTGGTCCAGTGAATATAATTCCGGCGAATGATGTTTGAAGACTTCCACTACTTGCACTACTACTTGCTGGTGATGCACCGGGATATGCAAATGGTTGTTGTGATAAAAGATTACCGGGACCTCTTCCTGAAAGATTTTCAGGTTGTTCCTCCATTTCCTCGTCCATGTCAACATCACCTTCCAATCTCCCACTAATTTTACTATCCATACTACAGTCTTCGTATTGATGAGAATGGGAAGGTGGATTTGCTGACGATGGTGAGGAATTAATAAATTTTCTAGATTCGTCAAATTCTTCGACATCATCTTCAGGTTGCTCGTCAGCGTCTTCTGGCTCTCGTTTTGGTGTTATTTGTTCTCCACTATCTTGACTGGACGGTTGTTGCTGAAATGATTCCAGTAATGGTTGTTCCATTTTTATTTCCTCCCTCTGTTCGAATTGTGGTTTTGGTGGAAGTTGATGATCGAGAAAGGAATTATGAGAATTTTGAGTGTTAGGTGAATGAGGAGAAATTGCACGTGCCGTTGTTATAGGCTTGCTGAGGTTCTCAGGGACATCTTGATCATCTCGATGATTGACAAGAGGAGGTCGATAAATGGGCGACATACCGGGCATGGTTAAACTAAGAGGTAAGGGAGGTTGTGGTGGAAGAAAACCGTGTGCTGCTGCGGGATGAAAAGGAGGATGATGAGGGGGTGGAGGTGGTGAGGGTAATGGTCTTTGTCCGGAATTTGCGAGCTGTTGAAGGAGAGGTGGATGATATTTGTCAAGGTGTTCGGGAATGGGATTTGGATTCATTTTAATGTGTGGAAACTTGGCCGTGTGCCTTTGGAAGTGGACCTTCAAGTTTCCTTTGGTGGTGAATCGGCTTCCGCAGACGTTGCACTTAAAGGGACGCTCACCTGTGTGTGACCGTATGTGGATCTGGAGGGCGGAGTCGCTGCCAAAGACCTTGCCACAGTAACGACATCGATGTTTGAAGAATGGTTCACCACGACCGCCACCTGATTTTGAATCATAGGGAGATAGTCTTGAACCTTTACTACCTCTGAAGGCGAGTTCATCGGCAAGATTGTTCGCTAAAAGACCTTGGCTTGCATTGTCGAGTACTTCTTGTGCACGCTTCTGAAGCATCTCGAGGGTATTTGGTTCATTAAGAGATGGTGGATCATTGTTTGTGATGATTGACGCCGCTAATGATGAACTAATTGAACAGAGAGGTGGCATTTGATGACTCATTGTTTGATTGCAGGACGTTGTTATTGGCGTGGTGTCAGTTGTTGAGGGAAGTATTACACCGACAGGTGAAGCACTGTTTGCAGGAGCTGGCCGTTCCTGTGGTAAATTAGGAGTGTGAGGCGAGGGAGATGATTGTTGATGACTGGGTGGTCTGGAAGGAGGGGGAGATGTGAGGACTGAATGAGATTTAGGATTTATAACTGGAGACGGTGATGTTTCTTTGCTGTCTGACGCAGTTGATTCTCCAACATTTTGTGCACCAGTTTGTGATCCCGATAGCTGTTGAGTTAACTGATTGATCAGCTGAAGTTGAAAAACGTGCTGATGTTGAAGGGTATAAAGTGTGTTCTTTAAAAGAGCGTAATCTTGTAAAACTGCCTCGCCGTCTCCAGCACCCGCCGGAGTTGTTGCTGCAAATTGAGCGACTGCCACCTTTGTGTTTTCAAGGGCTCCAAGGGTGACGTGACTAGTACCGGCTGGTGGGAATATTCCTCCAGCTGGACCACCCTCAACAAAGCTGTTATTATTCTCCGCGTCCTGACGATGACGCATTTGTTTACGGGAACCTTCTTCATCTTCATCTTGCTCCTCCTGTTCATCAACACCTTCATCCTCGTCCTCCTCCACTGGTAATTCTTCTGGGTCCTTTTCATCCTCATCTCCATGATGGGATCGTGTTGCCGTAAGATCAACGGCCTCATCGCCAATCGCTCCTCCTCCTCCACTTTCCTCATCTTCCGAAGCTGAGTCATTTTCTTCTCCTGTAACATAAAAAACAACAAAATATTTAGTTCAAATGCGGTTATTTTTGGTAAACTTTTTTTTTGTGTGTAATCTTTTAAAAGAGGCAAATCATCTTTGATAGAGATGAAATTGTGTCTTCGGGGTTCATTAGTTAATGATGATGCACCTTGTTAGCATTTGAGATAATGGTAGAATTTTAGGAATGTATTTTTTAAGTGCCTGAAAGATATTCTTATATATATATATATAAAATAAAGACATCTAATGAGCAGCTAACACATTGACGTTATGAAATTTTTTTTAATATCGGCATATAATATGGAAATGTATTCCTGGAGTTTGGACCCAAGATAAGATTTCCTTGTTGAAGTATTCAATGATTTATATTATTATATACTTATTTTAAGAGATTCTTCAACGGAATATTTGAGAACATAAGATATTTATCGCTTTATATTCATCTTTTCGCATGTATCATTTGAATGATGAGCATAATTTAAGTCTTTCTTATGAAAGGATAAAAATAAAAACAAAAAAAAATCTTCAAACCAATAAATTAAAAGAAAACATTTAAAAAAATATTTAAGTGTGATTTTCGAATAAGCCACGCGACATGTATTTAAAAAAAGTATATACACACAGGTATAAAACTAAATTTATAAAAATTTCTCAATTTAAAAAAAAAAATAATTTTATCAATTAAATAAAACAAAAAAAAAGTGGTTTGGGACTTTTTTTTAAATCGAAAACATTTTCTTTTTTGTAACAGTTTATTCTGATATATATCTGATAAAAAATTTCACTTTATAATTCTCTTATATGAAATGCAAAATACTTTCTGTGACAGGAAAGGGTTCCTGAATGGAGAATCGAATACTATCGGACTTTGTGATTGAAAAATTTTAATAATTTCAACATGAGTATTCATTTATAATCGTGAAAAAAAAATTTTTAACATGTGTGAAATATTAATATATCCCGACTATGTTGATCGATCCGTTCTGACTTTGTTAACACTTTTGCACGAATTCGAAAATTGTTTTTTTTATATCCGTTTTATATTTTCTAAAATACTTTTGTAATAAACAACTTTAAAAAAAAAATTTTTTAATTGGAAATCATGTTTTTAATTTGGTATTTATAATGTTATTTTCAGTTTAAAATCGATATAATTCGATTTATTAACATTTGAGAAAATAAAAGAAAAGTTATATAGACAGGGTTTATAGTTGAAATTGATCTTTATCTTTAATATATATAATTCAAGCCGTTACCGTTGCTTGTTATTATATTACTTTAGCGATAAATGTGCACTTATATATATGTATATAAACTTTTCACAAGTCTTTTGTAATTAACTATAGTCACGCAAGACATGTCTTGAAGTACATTCATATTGTTGCTATGCACAAAAAAGATCCATGAATCCAATTTGCGTATAATTTTTTAATGACCTTCTGATTTTAATTGACGGAAAAGAGTATATATATATATATAAAACGAGAAATTGTCGGCTAACCATTCAGTACAAATTATTGTAGAAAAAGGCGCACATTATAAAAGAGAGCTCTTTCTACTTAAAAGTATGAATGGAACTTCCAGGTGTTTACATAATTTTCGCATGTGAAATTTAACAGTCGAATGAAAAAGAATTAATTTTAAATGAAAAACTATAATAGTTGCACATTTTTCGCTTAATGCTTTTTATATTATTATTATTTCCCATAGTTAAACGCAATGTTTAAATTAAATGGGAGAGTATCAATTATATTTAACTAGACTGAGAAAAAAAATATTTTAAATTCTTTCACATTTTATAAATTACTCACGATAATCGATTTTTCAAAACTATATCACTTGAGAAAACACAATTTTTGACACCGTTTTTCATTCACATGTGCAAACTTTTTTCCAAATTGATCCCTCTCATTTGACAAGTAACCACGTGCTCAATTGAAAGAAAGGGGGAGGAGTGAAGAAGGCGTAAACATCGCGGAAAGAGGTCGTAAAATGCGAAATCGTACCGGAAGATCGTGAATAAGACAGGCGGGGTCCAGCTGGATCATTTTGACAGCTCTTAGCGTCGCGACGGCCGTTCATTCCACGACTGTCGAGGCGCCTTGTTATACTCCATCGCATCAACTGCATTATTTTTTCTTTCTTCTTCTCCTTTTTTGAGAAAATGTATCCTTATGATGAATTACCGATAGAGCGGACAAAGCCCGCTCCAATCAATCACAATAGTCACTGGTTGCGAAATCGGTTCGAAAAGACAAAGGAACACACTTTGTCTTAAGTCGACCGGTATTGGTTTATACACTACATGAAAAAAAAATTTTTTTTTCAATTGAATTTTTTTTTCTTCCTCTTTTTAACAGTATATCCCCCTGTCATCCGGCAAGGACGAAGAGCGACTGATCGCACGGGGAAAGAACCGGCTCGATCGGGGGCTATGTCTCGATGTAACCCCACTCCTGCGCCGGAGAATCCCCACCATCACATACTCCTACGCACTTATGCGCTCTCCACGTCCTCCTCCACCACCACCTCCACCGGTTATGACAGGGAGGGCGTTGCGGTACATAAATCAAGGGGGAGAGGGGCGGAGCTTGCGCGGACCACTCACCGACTGAGGTTATTAATTATTATACGACCAACCCGTCACCCTTCCAATACCATCACTACCACTACTAGCCATCGTTATATATTATACGATTCTCGTTAAATATGTTTTAGTTTTTTATTACACGGCAATGATTCTTAATTATTATTGGACATTAGACATGAAATACCACGATTTTACAATTTTTCACACGAATTCTTTTTTTATTCTTCTTTTCTTTGTACTATCAAGTTAGTTAGTTACTAAATAACATTAACTGTTCGTCATTTGCTATTAGAAAAATATTTAGAGATCAAATTCTGTCTTTATCCCCCCTTTAGTGTTAACCACGTGTTTTCTATACTATTGGCGATAAAATCAAAAACAATAATTGTTTAATGTTTTAAAAATTTCTTGGAATATAATTTAAATTCCTAATTATTGACGTAATTCAATTTTCATGTTTAGGTTGATATCAAAAATGTTAGGATACTTTAATAATATTCCCAAAATAGAAGATTTCGCAAATCAAGTGTCTATTAAATTCTTTCAATTCTGATAAACTATAAGAATTACCCGCATTTTTTTTCTTTTTGCGCAAGATGTATCGATCGTTAAAAAATATTGCAAACCCGAAATCCATTAGAGAATCCTTTTCTATCGCTTCTTAAATTTTGCAAATTTCGCTATAAATATGCGCCATGGACTTTAAAACTTTTATATTCCTACAATATCATAAACTCTTTCTTTATCAATTTTAATCTAATGATTTTATATATTTTATCCTTTTAAAGCTTCCTCTCTCTCTCTCTCGTCTCACACTTTAAATAGTATATACATATATATATATTCTATATAAAGCTGCGAATCTCCTTTATTCTATTTCCGTGGCCTTGATAGACACGTTGACCTTATACGCTTAAAGTCGATGAATGTCGAATAAACTACTTTGTAAAGAGGTCAATGACCAGATATATAACTTATTGTAATTCATACAAAATTTTAAGTTGAGATTATTTCTGTTTTTGAAATAAGAATAAGACAAAAAAGTATTTTATGAATTTCAATTGTTATAAAATATTCATATGAAATGATTCAATATAGAAATATTTCCATCTGACATAAAATTTATACATCAGAGTTGAATATATAAATCAAAAAGATCGATCGATTTTAAAAATATATTTTCTTTAACGAATCACACATTTGTAATTATATATAATTAAAAAAGAATCATCATTACGTGACCAAGTTTTTTTATTAGTTTTATAGCTAAATTGGTGTAATTATAATACTTGCTCGCGCATTTATTTGGTATATTCTTAATTCTTTAAAAAAAAGAAATTAACATATCGCAAGGTTTTATCCATTTTTGAAAATGGTAATTTTTTTTAAAGTATAAAAATCAAATGCATTTTGATTAGTTCTACTTTTTGCGATTCTTATAAAACCATGACTTTTTCTAAATAAAAATAATGCTTTCTAAGAAATATTCCGTTTTTTTTTTTTTTTTTTTTAAATGTTTCTATAAATAGTGGCTATATCGTTATTTTCATACACCACTCATATACAGCCTTATCAAACGTAACCCTTTAGTATCTTCTTAATTTCAAGATAAATATTGCTAATGAATGCAAAAAAAGTGACGAAAAACAGGAAAATGTAAAATGTTTCTTGTTTTGTCGACGATAATTATGTCAATTAAGCATAATCATAGTGGGTTTTGCTCATAAATTCAGTGATAATATTTTACTTTAAAAAAATATAAGGATTATATTGTTTTCGATTCCTTAAAACTGTCTTTTTCCCCTTTAAGAACACAGAAAATTAAAAGCGGCATTAAAATAAGTTGCAACGCTTATTTTAATGCCTTTTAATTTTCTGTGAAAGAATATATTTTTTTTATTTTATATATTGTTTAAAATACGCTAAAATTTTTTAATATTTATACGAGGAAATGAAATTTTTTTTTTTAATGAAGAAAATATTTCCTATTAGAAATTAACTACTGGCGCAGTACTGCGTCAGTACTGGTACCAGTACCGTGCCAATTGTGAAATTTGGCAATTTTTGGTAGGGTTCCTTAGTAGAAAAATTACACAACAATATAGTAAATATTACCATATAACGTATAGTTAGTTTTACTATACTGTCAAGTAATTTTTCTATTAAGGAATATTTTACATACAACAATAATAATAATAGTAATAATAATAAGAAGAATAATAATATTAATACTAATAGTAATAATAAAAATAATAATAATAATATTTAAAAAAAAAAATTTTTCTTTTATAAATGAAAAATTATTAAATTTTTTAAAACAATGCACAATAATTATAGAAAAGAAAAGTTATATACGAGATTAACAGTATTATATGTATATATGTATATATTGTTAGAGTAAAATCAGTG